ACAGCTATATATGGTAAGGAAAGTCCACCCTATAATTCTGTAAGAAATAGTCTTTGGGGTACTTTTGCACTGGTTGTGAACCTGTCATGTGTATAATAATATTGTAAACGCAGTTTTTTTTTTTTTACTAAAAAACAAAAATGTTACTGTTATGATAAATTGGGTGCAGTGTTGTATTCTTAGCCCTGGTTCACATCGGTGCGACTTGAAATGCGCTTTGACAGTTCCAAATCGCATGACAGGTTGCACCCTTTTGTCGACAATGGAACCGTTCAAATCGATGCAACTCCCACTTTTCGGTGCCGCACCGATTTGAAAAAAAGATTCCTGCACTATTTTTTGGAATTTCAGGTGCGACTTCCATAGACATCTGTGCATGAAGTTGTACACGTAAGCCAAGTTGTACCTGAATTGGAACGACCTGCGGTTTTTTGCTTCAAGTGAAGTCACACGATTTTAAAATCGGATTCAATGTGAACCAGGGCCTAGTGATGTTACACTATTTTGTCAAAAGTATGGGTTCTGGGTTTTTTGTTGTTTTTTTTTTTGTTTTTTTTATCAAGTGTATACAAAGTGTAAACTTCAGGGGGAATAGCTACTGTGGTAGTGCTCTAGGATCACTTGCAAAGCTGTTTTTCACAAGCATAAGTCTTTATTTTTCACAAGGAAAAAAATACTGTGCTTTCAGCAGGAAACATAAATAGCTCAACTCCAGCAAAATGAGAGAACAAAAGTCCTCTTATCTTCAGCACAAAGTAAAAATAACAGTGTAACAACCACACAAGGGCTTTGCCTGCAGAAAGAAATGTCCAGTCTGAGCTTCAGAAAGACAGTTGTCTCCTCTAAAAACCTCCCAAAACTCCTTACTACTCCACCCCTGCTCTAGGAGTTTCGTGTCTTTAAGTGCAACTTCTTGGAGGTTGGCTCAACCCTTTTGTGACCAGAATCTCCGTAATCAGGGGTGGAGGTTATTTCCCTCCCAAATATCTCTCTGAACCTCCAAATTCCAGGTCCCAAATAAAAAATTATCAGCGCTAATAGGACTTCAAGTCAGTCCTCTCCTCTGTTCGGACTTCTTGATTCCCTCACCCTTCACTGGTGAGAACCCCTGAATACACCAACTGCACAGGGACCACAACCCAAATATGGGCAAGCTATAGTGCTTGTCCAGGACCCATGCACAACGTCCTATACAAAAGCTATTTTAGACTATTGTGCACTTCCAACATTGTGGCAATAGTTTGCAGAAGGCATGTCTCTGTTCTGGCATAACTGGACTGGTGCCCCTGTGCACTAACCAAAATACATACATTTCAGTGTGCAGGATCTCGGGTGGTCTGCACAGAGCTCAACCCTAATGAACACTTTTGAAATTAAGTGAACTGCCAGTTGTGAGCCAGATCTTCTCACTCACCATCAGTACCTGACCTCACAGATGCTCTTTTGGTTAAACAGGCACACATTCCCACAACCACACCAAAATCTTGTGGAAAGCCTTCCCAGAAAGGTGAGACTATCATAGCTACAGAAGCTGGCCAATCCATATTATTGTCCATGGTTTTGGAATTTGGATTTCCAACAAAATCATATAGATGTGATGGTGAGGTGTTAAAAAAAAAAACTTTTGGCCACATAGGGTGTACTGTTTATAATTTCTTTATTAGAACTTCTGTCCAGTTGCACATAGATATAAGAAACACATCTTTGAACACGACCTGAATGTAGAATTATATCTTGAGGATTGGCCAAACAAGCTTCTAGATCAGTGATGGCGAACCCGTGGCACGCGTGCCACAGCCGGCACGCCGAGCCTTATCTGTGGGCACGCCAGGAGAATCCAGCGGCGCGATGTCTTCCCGGCTGTAGTGTGCGTGACAGCCGGGTCCCAAGTGCGCATGCACAAGAAGCAGTGCTCTTTGTGAATGGTAAGGCGGTACCTGGGACACATGACAGATCCCAGAAGCCGCCGGACCAATCACAAAGCGCAGCGCTTCTCGCGCATGCGCACTGGGCATCCGGCTGTCCGACGAGCGCCCACACTACAGAAGCCGGGAAGACAACGCACGGCTGGATAAAGGAACAGGTAAGATAAAAAAAAAAAAACTCTGCGGAAGTAAGAGCGGGTACCTGTCAAATTCAGGTACCCGCTCCCCCCCCCCTCCCCAAAGGTCAGCAGTCATCCCTGTGCTGTCCGCAGTCTCTGGTCATCCCTGTGCTGTCCGCAGTCTCTGGTCATCCCTGTGCTGTCCGCAGTCTCTGGTCATCCCTGTGCTGTCCGCAGTCTCTGGTCATCCCTGTGCTGTCCGCAGTCTCTGGTCATCCCCTGTACTGTCCGCAGTCTCTGGTCATCTCCTGTACTGTCCGCAGTCTCTGGTCATCCCTGTGCTGTCCGCAGTCTCTGGTCATCCCTGTACTGTGTCCGCAGTCTCTGGTCATCCCTGTGCTGTCCGCAGTCTCTGGTCATCTCCTGTACTGTGTCCGCAGTCTCTGGTCATCCCTGTACTGTGTCCGCAGTCTCTGGTCATCTCCTGTACTGTGTCCGCAGTCTCTGGTCATCCCTGTACTGTCCGCAGTCTCTGGTCATCCCTGTACTGTCCGCAGTCACTGGTCATCCCTGTACTATGTCCGCAGTCTCTGGTCATCCCTGTACTGTCCGCAGTCTCTGGTCATCTCCTGTACTTTCCGCAGTCTCTGGTCATCCCTGTACTGTCCGCAGTCACTGGTCATCCCTGTACTGTGTCCGCAGTCTCTGGTCATCTCCTGTACTGTGTCCGCAGTCTCTGTACTGTCATCCCTGTACTGTCCGCAGTCTCTGGTCATCCCTGTACTGTGTCCGCAGTCTCTGGTCATCTCCTGTACTGTGTCCGCAGTCTCTGGTCATCTCCTGTACTGTCCGCAGTCTCTGGTCATCTCCTGAACTGTGTCGCAGTCTCTGGTCATCCCTGTACTGTGTCCGCAGTCTCTGCAGCAGTCTCTGGGCATCCCTGTACTGTCCGCAGTCTCTGGTCATCCCTGTACTGTGTCCGCAGTCTCTGGTCATCCCTGTACTGTGTCCGCAGTCTCTGGTCATCCCTGTACTGTGTCCGCAGTCTCTGGTCATCCCTGTACTGTGTCTGCAGTCTCTGGTCATCCCTGTACTGTGTCCGCAGTCTCTGGTCATCCCTGTACTGTGTCCGCAGTCCGCAGTCTCCGCAGTCTCTGGTCATCCCTGTACTGTGTCCGCAGTCTCTGGTCATCCCTGTACTGTTAATTAGTTTGCACTACTGTACGAGTTGTTTTTTCTAAACCAAAAGCTCGATATTCAGGTTTCATTGCAGTGTTGGCACTTTGAAAGAAATAAGTTGGTTTTGGGTTGCAGTTTGGGCACTCGGGCTCAAAAAGGTTCGCCATCACTGTTCTAGATCATATATTAACACTTCTTTAATAGAAGCTAATTGCAAAGTTTTACTTAGATGGTAATTGGTCCCTATGCGGTTGGCCTTTTACGCCCTGGGAGCCTTCTCACGTTGTTTCAGGGGTTGTCCTCCATATTTGGTGGCAATGTCCAAGAGTATACAGATTTTGGATTTGAGTCTATAATTTCCTGTATTCCTTGACGGACACGAATCTTAAAAAAACACAATAGGCTCTACTAGGCCGACCCATATTAAAGGCTCCACAATCTGTGACAAAGCTGATATCTTGTGCTTTTAGCAACCTAGGTCATGGAAATCTCCCATTATACCATTTGATATGATTAAAGTGTTACTAAACCCACAACACTAAAATCAGTCTGTATATGCAGTAAAGTATGCTTGTTATATGTACTGTGGAACCTAAGGAGTTAATCCTCTGCATTGTGTAAAAAAGATGTTTGGTCCAGTCTTCTCTAATCCTCCCCTTCTTCTGATGTCCCCAATCCATAAAACAGCCTTGGAGGCAAGCAGCACATGCTCAGTTTGGTGTGTATTGTTAGGTTTTTTTCTTGGGAGAGTGCATGTGATCAGTACAGGGCCAATCAGCGCTGTCCAGACAGAAGGTCAGGGGTGCTTTAGTCTCATAGGACAATCAGGGGAGAATAAAAACTCATCTTACAAGCTTTAACCAGTGGTCCGCTGGACACTGATAGAAGTCAGAAGACCACTCCAACTGCTGATGAGAAAAGGTATTTGGGAGTTTATATTTAATAAAAATAATTGCATTTCCATGTTGTGTGTACTGCAGGAGACCAGATATGGTGAATGCAAGGTCCTGGGTTTAGTAACACTTTAAAACCAAACTCTCCTGGGTAATGGTCAACGAGAAACTCTCAGCCACCCTTACTGATAAATTACCTGTTTGAAAAGGTCTGGGAGCCCTGGGTCACCTATCTTTCTGGGCATACTTAGAGTCTGAAAGTGTTCCTAGAATTTTGGTATTGAGCTCTTAATTCACACAGAACACTATACACTCTTTTCTTCCACTTCCTATTTCTCTCGAATTTGCCATTTTGTAACCCCTGGTTATGCTATTGTGGAAATTACCTGATGAGTCTGGGAAATGGAACTATCAAGGGGGTGTGATAGCAAACCTCTTTATATGCCTTTTACTATTTGAATATTACTTATGGCTAACTATGTTTGATTATTACTTTTTCTAACCATTTGGAATTGCTTTGTATGTATTCTTCAAATTCTGCTAATAAAAAATTATGGAAAGAAACACATCTTTATTAATGCATTTTCCTGTTCATCAGCACACATGTTGGTGTGTTTTACACCCTGCGGTTCCTTGATGGAAGACACAGGTGTGTTGGTCACAATACCAATGCATGTATAGTTTCTGATAAGTTTTTTGTTATGATATGTAAATTTCAACTTGTATTCACCATGGAGGTACTTACAAGCTATTGAGACAACAGTGTGAAGCAGTAGACCGTATGAAGTGTATGCAGGGGCATGTCTCTTGCTTCTGTGCAGAGTTCTTAATGCATCAATACTGTCATTAATAGTGAAAATATTTTTTTCTTTTCTTTTTTTAAGGTTCCTAAAGGTTTGCCATATTTTTCAGTGGATTTTGGCCTACAAGGTGGATTTGCGCATGTTATTGAAGATCACAACAAGTTTCCACATTACTTTGGAAAGGTAATTGAGTGCTATTCCTGGTTGGCTACCTGCCTAAAGTCCATGATGTTTACAGTGAACCTAATAATAATAATAATAATAATAATAATAATAACTGTTTCCATTATAATCTGTAGTTGGATAAGCTGCTCCCTAACATTGTCAAGTGTATTCATCAAATTTCTCCCAGCTGAGGATACCCTATGTTTGTTCCTCATTGCACTGCACTCCATGGGGACTTGTGTGATGAACTAACTTCCATGATCCCTTATGGGACACAACTACTCAGTGGATAACTTTTCTCACACATATTGCTGCACTAACCAATTAGGGCCCGGCCACGTATTTGGATATGCCCTTCTGGGCCTCTGCACACTAGGGCAATTTAAGTGCACTTGCATTTTTTTTTCTCGATCACTGGGCCCACAGGGATCCCAAGTTCACATAAGGAGGCTGCCTCAAAAAGATTTTTTTTTTTTTTTACTGCAAGCGGTGGTTTGCCACGGTAAGTCTTCCATATGTGAATCTATGCGTCCGGACGTATTTTATTTTTAATTTTTGTTTGTTGTGTTTTGTCAATTTATGGTTTCCACTGCGTTGAATTTATTACTAATACCTACAGTACATCCACGCTGGTGTTCTATTTATCTTTGAAAAATAAAATTGTCGGTTTTAACATATATGGTACTTTCATTTTTCTAAGCGATACCTTTGACCTATATTTGTAATCAATAGTAACCACTTTTTGCCTATGCTATCAGGTTAAGGTAAGCATTGTGGGGGGCTGTGAAGGGAGCTGCACACTGAAGGTTTTTTACCTAATGCAGAGAATGCATGAAAGTTAAAAACTTTCAGCCTTTAGAATCACTTTAGAGGAACAACATTTAATTTGCTAAAGTACCATGTATTATAAGCAAATGCCTTTAATTTTTTTTGGTCTCAATACTGCTACTGATCTCTTCCAGGAGATGTTTTGCTGCCACTTCCTTTCTATATACACTCCAGTGATGGCTGCATAGCATTTCTCAGGGAAGGTTTGTGTGTTAAAACTGTCACTTGTCTACATCGGAAGCCTGTAAGTCAGGGACAGTGCGTTGTCACCTTACAAAAGGGAGTAGCTGAACAAGGGCCAAGTTCCGCTTTAAAACTTTGTCCCCACTCCCCATTAAGAATTGGCACCTTTTGGGAGCGGGTACCTGATCTTAACAGGTATCGCCTAGGTGATTGGAAGCGGAAGTTGTCCTCCCCCTCTCTCCCCATAGTCGTCTGCGACATGTGACGGGTCCCAGAAGACTACGGGGCCATTCACAAAGTGCAGCGCTTCTCACACATGCAGTGTGCACCCAGCTGTGAAGCCGCAAGCTGTCACACCCAGGTGCCCACACTGAAGATGCCAGCGCTGGGGAGAGAAGACGGCCAGTGAAACCAGCCATGGTTAGGATGCCGCTGGACTAAGGGACAGGTAAGTGTCTGTATTTTAAAAGTCAGCAGCTACAGTTTTTGTAGCTGCTGACTTTTTTTTTTCAGCTGGAACTCTGCTTTTATGAAAAATGCAGATATAAAAAGAGTGACACTTGAAATGGCATGAACATACTAAAGCTTATATAGGATGTTGGTGATTGGTTTTACATATTATTATTACAGTTATTTATAGAGCAACAACAATTTTACTGGATCACTGCCAGCCGCTTGTAAAAGTGACAGTCTTTATTGAGCTTACAAACACTCCAGACAACAAAAAACGCTTTCTTCAGCTAACACAAAATAGTCCATTAATCTAGTACAATGGAAAACAAGAGTATGCTACTGTACCAATACAACACTGGGGTTTGGGGTTTCCTGTCTGCTTTATGAGTGCTGTTGAGGAGGTTTTCACAGTTCGGCAACAGTAGATCAGTCCCAAGACCTGGTCCACCCTGCACTTTCGGGTGAGTCTTGCTCTGTCCCTCACAGGCAGTTGCTAAGTTTCCTCTTAGTTTTCTGGACATTGATGCACCTGGGTTAATCCCTGAAGGACGAACATCTTTGTAATCTGAGTTTGTAGGTTTTTGTGTCCCAAAACTCCTCGCACCTCTGAAATTTTGGGTCCCTAATGAGGTTTTACCAATCCAGAGAGTACTGAATCAGTCCTCTCCTTTCCACCCCAACCACCCCAGAATCCCTCACTCCACATGGTTGAGATTCCCTGGGTACTCCACAATGTCTTCAAACTGCCCCCCATTGAAGGAACCTCGACCAATATAGTGGGGAAATATACCTGCCACCCAGGACCCATCCCTATCAACCTCTAACATGCTAGCACTAAATTAGACAGGAACCAGTTAATCTACCAGCAGGTATTTGCATGTGGAAGGGAAGCCAGAGTACCCAAAGAAAGCCAGTCAAGCACACAGAGAGCATGCAAACTCCATGCAGGTAGTGTCCTGGTTGGGATTAGAACTGAGGTCTCCAATGCTGCAAAACAAAAGTGCTAACTGCTAAGTCACTGTGCTGCGTACATATACTTTAATGTAGGTAATGTGCTGTTAGTTCACTGAGACCTTATCAGCACTTATCTGCACTTACTGTGCTTGTTTTCCAATTAATTAACAGTGGTATAACCAAGGATGCGGAATGGAGTTTCTCAAATTATTTCTAAATACTTCGAATTTTTTTACATTTTATTTTGGATAGGGAACTAGGGAAGGGTTAAAACCCCTGAATGGGAATTTTCCCTTCACTTTCCTGTTCTATAGGCACAAGCCAGTGGAATTTTCCAGAGGAAATTCCCTCAAGGAGGAAAATAATCTCCTGTCACCAGAACAGGTGTTCACACTAGAAGATTTCCTCTTTATCCGGGGTGAAAACTCCAAATTTTGTTGTTTTTCACTCACTGTCAGTTTTGGTTCCATTGGTGACTAGGACAAACCCAGAGAATAATCTCCTCATTGGGAACACAGACAGAAATAAAAACCTGACAGAAGTTCTAACCCCTCACCACTTCATACAAAAATAACAAATACAAATTTTGATACATTTTTTCCATCTCAAAAATTTATAAAGCATTATAACAATTCAACAAAGGAATGCTGCGTTATATTTTTTTTTTACTTCAGTGCTGCAGAAAATCGCTGCTTTGAAGCCAATCATGAAACATTTATGACTTTGTCTTGCAGGAGATCATTGGTGGTATGCTGGACCTGGAGCCCAGAGTCTGGAGGAAAGCCATTCGTGAAAATTTTGATGATCAGAGGAAGAAGGTCTTGCAGTTTGCCCAGTGGTGGAAACCATTTGATGTTACTAAAGCTAAAGAATAATTTTTCACTGTATTTATTTTTACATTACACCCTTGTGTATATTTTAGCTGTGTACATGGTCTTTTTACGTCTGGCATGTTTACAAAGTACTTAAATATTTTGTAAATATATCGTCAAAGTGAAGTATGTCTCATTTCCTAGCAAAAACTTTATTTAGGAGGTTTTTCCAAAAACAATCCCACTGATAGATTGGTTAAAGCCGGCCATAGGCTGTCGAATCTCGGCCGGTCTACTTGAGTACAAGCATGTTGGATTTCACATGCGATTATTGTCAGTGGCTATTATAGCCGTTAGCAGTAATCACTGTGTTCTCCTGGCAGGGATGGCACAACGGCACACAATGGCTTCGCAGGAGGGATTCCCCCATCAACACTGACTGTTGATGGGGGAATCAAGTGATTTTCTTTCCTGCAACCACGGGTCTATGGCCTGTTTTATTCTGTGATTTAGCCCTTCAAGGGCTAAGTGAAGTCAGAGCCCTTACCTGAGTGCAGCCATGTTAAGAGATACTGGTTATTACGGGAGGTGCTCTCAAGGAGCTGAACGGATATCTATAGCAATACCTTTACTAACAACTATTCCATCTTAAAGCGGTATTAAACCCATATGCAAACACTTATTATATTGCAGCTTACCGACTCTTAGATGTGGTCCCTGAATTCATTTTTATTTTTTAGGCTTTCTTTTTTTATTCTCATCTGGTGATCTGGCCACTACCCCCCCCCCCCACACACACACACCCTTTCAGTGTAGCCTTCATGCCTGCTTCCACACTCTTCACTGTGTGGTCCTGCCTGGTTCCATCCAAAACAATCATGGTCAGGCCCTAGCCTGGTCTGGTGCATTTGCAACAACACTTATTTCGATGAATATTCTGTACTCCACTGGATGGCCAAGAGCAAAATGAAGTTTTAACATTCGATATACTTTTGCTAAAAAAAAATGTTTACATAACTAATTACCTGAAGCTTAAACTAAACACTTGAAACTAAAGTCACAGGAGGGATGTCACCTCCTTCTCTAACCCTTCAGTTGGGGCCAATCAATAAGAAAAATCCATAAATTAAAAACTACTACTGTACTCTTTTAAACAAGTTTAAAAACCACTGCCATGAATGCATTCTGTATTAAATGTTTTTTGGTAAAATAAAGATTTTCTGTAAATAAAAAAATATCCCAAAACCTCAGCCAAAAATTGTAAATATAAACACGTTCAAATAAAATTGGCTTGAAACCATTTTAGTTTTCCCTTTCAAACAGTCTTATCTAGATGTAAATGTATTCTAGTGTCCCACAGGGTCCATATATTACAGAGCACTTCTGTGTCATTATGCAACTGAGCTGTTAAGAAATCCATTATTCTTACCTAGTGTGTTCTGTCTCTCAGCAAGGACAGGATTGGCACAGGGGGATTGGAAGTGTCTAGAAAGTAACAAGCGAGCACCTTTTGGTGTAGTGATCTATTCTTATGATGAGGTACCTATCATTCAATATGCTGCGTCCTGATACTGAAACTAATAGACTTAATAGTGCTTGTTTGAAATTTGCTTCACTGGCTAAACTTTACACAAAACCTGAAAAAAAACTCACTCTCCCTACCGAAACTATGGTTTAAAAAAAAAAAAAAAACTATTTACGTAAGTATTCTTAACTTACAAAGTCCCCTCTATTGCTCAGTCTCCTCCAAATCTTAAAATTCCCTTTTTTTCCTTCTGTGATCTGACTTCATTTTAGAGGGTGGCCAAAAGACAATGAACTATAGGATTTGTAGTTTGCATAGGGCAGTGCACTGCTCATTCCATACAAATGAAAGTGAGGAGGTCATGGAGGACATTACAAGAAGGCAGTAAGAAACAATTTCATGAAAATTAGATTACATTAATTATTTTTTGGAAAATAAAGATATAATTTAGTGTCATTTTAAATTTCCTTTGCCTCCACATCTGCTTTGTTCTGCACCAGGAACTAAAGGAAATAACTGACTTTCCCAGGTATGTTGGCGCACGTGACACTACTGGGCCTATCAAAACTGTCCCAGGGGGAGCTCGTAATCCTAGAAAAGAGATAACTCCAGTGGTTAAGATTGCACTGGACTTTCACTTCTGGTGGCTGAAGAGAGCTGCAAGGTAGATATTTGTTGCTGAGGATCACTGCCCACTCCCAAAATGTGTGGGATGATGTTGTTTATTTCAATGACCTCTTCTCCCCCTACTAAGTTTAAATGTTTTTTACCAAGCTATAAAAACCATGTGTCATTTAGCAGTTGGACCAAATGCAATTTAATATGCATATCCAGATTAATTTATTCTACTGCTATGATATAATTAATGTCCTTTCAAGAAGACCATCACCTTCCCTCAGAGAGCACTACTTGGATACACTAGGAGGTAACATCATTGGAAAAGGATCTATGCACTATCAGTCCCCAGACCCTAGGTAGGATCTCCTTCCTATACACCCATCTGATCCAACCCATATACACCTTTCCCCCCACCCCTTTCACAGGCAGTCCCTGGGTTACAAACAAGATAGGTTCTGTAGGTTTGTTCTTAAATTGAATTTGCAAGTTGAAACAGGAACATTTTTAAGTGTAACTCCAGCCAAAAAAATATATTTTTATATTTTTGGACGGCATAAGGAACGGTTACCAGGTCCGCTGGACAGTAGGTGGAAGCAAGCGGTGAGCAGCCAGATAGCCTCCTGGTAGTTTCCGGGACCAGCGTAGAGTCACCCTGCCTCCATTCTTAAATACGAGTCGTATGTAAGTTAGATGTTTGTAACTCGGGGACTGCCTGTACCTTCAAATTGAAGGAAGACCTAAGTAGTGCAATAACTGATGGTGACTGGGATCAGATCTGGATTTCCACCTTCAAAAATTCTAACAATGTTTCCACCCTGGAAAACCTGACATAGTACTTAGTCCTGGCCGGGATCTCTAGAGCAATACTGAATTAACCTGCTTATTGTTTAGGGGATGCCAAGCAAGATGGTATCTTTGTTTGAAACTGGTGGAACAGCCCAAAGGCAGTCCAGGGTAGCATACATGGTTTTGGGCTTCACATTCCATATGTAGGGAATACTTTGATGCTCAGTTTTTTTTAAGTTATACTTTGAGTTTTTACAATAAAACAATACAAGGTATACAAACATAGCAATGTATCAGAGACACACAGTTACTAAAGTACATATTTTACAGTTTTCACATTCTCATTTACAACTGGTATGCCCATCCGTGAAATTATATGATGGTCAATATGAATCAAGAAGAAAAAAATAAATAGCTTTGTTAACATGGTGATTTTGTTTTTATTTTATTTTTTAATTACTTTTTCAACACATAAAGAAGCGAGGTGGTGATTCAATAAGTGTTTTAAAAGTTTTAAGTGTATTAAAAATAATAATGTGTGTTTTAGAGTACATACAGGTGCATCTCAATAAATTAGAATATCATCAAAAAGTTAATTTATTTCAGTAATTCAATTAAAAAAGTTAAATTCATATATTATATAGATTCATTCGCACAGAGTGATATATTTCAAGCATTTTTCTTTTAAATTTTAATGAATATGGCTTACAGCTTGTGAAAACCCAAAATTCAGTATCTCAGGAAATTAGAATAATGTGAAAAGTTCAATATTGTAGATTCATGGTGTCACACTCTAATCAGCTAATTAACTCAAAACACCTGTTAAGGTTTCCTGAGCCTTTTAAATGGTCTCTCAGTCTGGTTCAGTGGGTTACACAATCATGGGGAAGACTGCTGACTTGACAATTGTCCAGAAGACAGTCTTTGACACCCTCCACAGGGAGGAAAGTCACAAAAGATCATTGCTAAAGAAGTTGGCTGTTCACAGAGTGCTGTATCCAAGTATATTAATGGAAAGTTGAGTGGAAATAAAAAGTGGTAGAAAAAGGTGCACAAGCAACAGGGATAACCGCAGCTTTGAGAGGATTGTGAAGCAATGGCCATTCAAGAATTTGGGGGAGATTCACAAGGAGTGAACTATGGCTGGTGTCAGTGCTTCAAGAGCCATCACATATAGATGTATCCAGGACATGGGCTACACCTGTTCTATTCCTTGTGTCAAGCCACTCCTGAACCAGAAACAACGTCAGAAGCGTTTTATCTGGGCTTAGGAGAAAAAGGACTGGACTGTTGCTCAGTTGTCCAAAGTTCTCTGTTCAGATGAAAGTAAACTTTGCATTTCATTTGGAAATCAAGGTCCCAGAGTCTGGAGGAAGAGTGGAGAGGCACAGAATCCAAGTTGCATGAGGTCCAGTGTGAAGTTTCCACAGTCAGTGATGATTTGGGAGCCATGTCATCTGGTGTTGGTCCACTGTTTTATCAAGTCCAAAGTCAGCACAGCCCTCTGCCAGGAAATTCTAGAGCACTTCATGCTTCCCTCTACTGACCAGCTTTATGGAGATGCTGTTTTCATTTTCCAGCAGGACTTGGCACCTGGCCACACTGCCAAAAGTACCAATGCCTGTTTTAATGATCATGGCATCACTGTGCTTCATTGTCCAGAAAACTCGCCTAGCCTAAACCCCATAGAGAATCTGTGGGGTATTGTTAAGCAACCTGGGCTTCTATAACACCTCAGCAGTGCCACAGGCTGATCGCTTCCATGATGCACCACATTAATGCACTAATTCATGCAAAAGGAGCCCCGACAAAGTATTGAGTGCATACTATACTGTACATACTTTTCAGTAAGCCAACATTTCTGTATTAAAAATCCTTTTTTTTAATTAGTCTTATTTAAAACTCTAATTTTCCGAGTTACTAAATTTTGGGTTTTCATTAGATGTAAGCCATCATCAAAATGCTTGAAATATATCACTCTGCATGTAATGAATCTATATAATATGAGTTTCACTCTTTGACTTGCATTACTGAAATAAATTAACGTTTTGATGATATTCTAATTTATTGAGATGTACCTGTACATGGGGGGGGTGATCAGCATCTGTCCACAAGCGCTGCCCATAAGCCTGTT